TGAACCTACATAAATTATTACAAGATACATTATAATTGTTATAGGTAAAATAAACACATTTCTATATACTATATTGCAAGTTTGCAACACATCCTACCGAAGTTATAGGTCTAATCTCAATTTACAACCCGAAAGATGCTTCAATTTTTAATTTGCACCCTCAAACATTAAAAATCTCAATTTGCACCCTCAATGTTATGAATTGGTAGTAATATGGACTTGACCTAGACTGTCGTTCAATTTTCCGTTATAAATTGAAACACACGAGGTGCAAGTGCATCGGGCATGAAGATGTGATATGTCCATTGCAGATTTTCGTTTGCAATCAATTTGACACAAATTTGTATACCAAAAATAGGGTTTCATTTATCATGTAAAGACTAACTCTATCATGTGCAACTCACATGAGGGGCAACAATCTGTGAATTTAAATTAAGCTCATGCCCGAAGCACTTGCAGCTCACATGCTTCAATTTACGACGAAAAACTAAATGGCAGCCCAAGTCAAATCTACATTGTTATTGATTCATAATATCGAAGGTGTAAATTGAAATTTTTAATGTTTGAGAGTGCAAATTGAGAATTGAAGCATCTTTAGGGATACAAAATGAGATTAGCCCTAAAGAATATAACCAATAACTAATATCCACATAGACATGCATAGAGGCAGGCACATATTGCATAAATGTATCATCGTTAAAAGAAGCAAAACTAGAGGACACTACACATACTTTTTGCTCCTCTAGCACAAGCTCAGTTGGGTCTTTCAAGCAAAGCCCATCCATAGCCACGCTTTGGCAATCTCTCTCTCTATCTCTCTCACACAATATACATATATAGCAACATAAATATATACATATATGTGTCTGTGTGTGTGTGGGTGTGGGTGTGGGTGTTATCCAGTAGATGAAACTTTGAGTCTAGGCAGGATTAATAAATATTTCCAATAAATAACTCTGTTGGACCGGCAGAGCTCTATTGTCAAATATGAGAAAATATTAGGGATTAGCCTTATCTCGTTTATAACTTTATATAGCTCATCTCTACTCATGAATACTTGAACTCAAATTAATCTCCGTGGAACACGTGTTAGTCTTATTTGAGTATTCTTTTGCTTGCAATTTTTCATTCAGATACATTGATCGAATTCTCATAAAAGGAGTGCTGATTTTTCTTTTTCTTCGACTCCTCTTTGTCTTTTTTGAAAAGATGAAAGCTTAAAATCGAATTTGTGTAGTTTTTGCAAGTCCAACTTAGTACTCTGCCACTCATCAATACTTGTGAGTTACCTTCTAATTTTCACTAATTCTTATTTAGGACCGGCTCGATGGGTGGCCCACAGCCCACTAAAGGCCAATTAGGGATGGCCCATGGAAAGGTCATTAGCCATGGTTTCCCTGGGAGGTCTGGCCAGGCCAATGCCATTGTCTGGAGGGTAGGGTAGGCTCAGCTTGATTCTGAGGCTGATATACATATATGCTTATAGCTCCAACAAGTATATGCTCTTATTTGTGCATGTACATAGAGAGAGAGTTCATTCAATCGACAGATGCTAGACATTCTCCAAGCATTAGTTTGTATCATTAAATGTTCACGCATTATTTTATTTTTTCATAAATTTCTACCTTGTTCATTCACAAATGAGCTATTTTCCATTTCTTCAATCAAACCCCTTTTCTTCCATCTGTTTCTCACTAGATTTTCTAAGTTTCTCATTAAACTATCCGTCAATCCCAAAAAGTCTACTTCTCCTACAATCATTACTTAGTTTGTCTGATGCCAAAAAAAAAAATGGTAATAGGGTAAAATGATATGTTCATCAAAGGAATAACAATCATCCAATATTCCTTTTATGCAATGCAGAATGTAGAGGATGACATAAAGTCAAATCTGAATGGCGTGGACATAGTGACATTGCAATGTTTTGTTAGACACAAGCAAAGACCCATAACCCAGACTACACGCATGCACTTAAACATAGAAACTGAAACTCGATAAATTCAGTAGAAATCATCCAAGCCACCTAATGTAGCGCTGACAACTATATAATCAATACTTTTTCATCGATTGATACATCAAATCTTGGCTAGCTTTCCCTCCAAAGAACCAGTCTAGAAGTTGAATGAGAAGGCACTTTGATGAGTAATTTCTTTCCAGAATAGCAATGCATACATCAACATATATGAAGAAAAAATTCAACAAAATGTGAAACACAAAGGTAAAAATATTGTTAAGAAAATTAAATTCACATTCATCAGAAAAATGAGAAAAACAAAACTCATGATGGATAATTTAAAGGAAAACATGAAGCCAACAATTCAAACAACAAAAGTTATAGAAACCCGTCATATATAATTAGATAGTTCACATACAGCTTTAAGAAATTCCCTCTCCCGAGCATATTTTGAATCACGGACTGTCGTTGCATATGTTGACCTATTAATGGAAGAAATTGAAAATCCAAGTTTTTGCTCTATCAAAAAACAGTCCTATCAATCAAGGGAAATAGCAAAAATATATCACAAAGATGAACATCCAACATTGTGCATGCAGTAATTATACAGTTGAACATGAAGAAGAATACCATTGCACTATGTTTGGAAAAAAGCCAATAGATTTTAAATGTTTGAATCAAACAATTTCCAAATGATTTGGATTCTGACAAATTAAACTTCCATCTTTTGGCATCCCTTTTAAGATGATAAGATTTGGATGCAGATTTTGTTGAAAACTCGAATATATTACGTTTGCATCCCTCTATTGGGAACAATTAAGGGCAAAAGTTGCCAATACTCAAATCCCTTCAATTTAATTTTTTTAACAACCAATCAAGGAAAAGGAAGTTTGATTCATAAACCTTTCCTATCTTACCTATTTGACATTCCTTTTGCAACAGGATTGGTTCCAAATACATTGTTAGTTTCCAAAAATTTCCACAGAGGAAGTTCCAAACCTCGAAGCAGTAATCGTAACAATCTAAATTGCAAGACTAAAGTTCAAAAAAGGAGGAAAAATTCCCTCAAATCCAGAGTCCATTTCTGAAAGTGTTTAATTCAAACACAATTGACATCTACTGGAATTTGAGTAATTTTTATGAATCCATGAGAATCAAGGTAGCTGGAACCCCAACTCCCCAGTGTTAGGTTTAAAGGATTAACACAATATTAGAGAGCAACAGAGATAGGTTAAAAAACATAACCTAGCTCTCATACATCACTTGTATTTATAGTTAATTCACAATAATAAGAATTACACATAATACCCTAATATTATTAACAATTTACACATACTACCCTAATACTCTTAACACTCTCCCTCAAGGTGGACTATATATATATCATACAATCCAAGCTTGAAACAAACAGCAGTAAAACGTGTACGACTCAATACTTTGGTAAACATATCTGCAAACTGATCTTCAGATTTCACAAATAGAGTCGTAATCTCCCCAACTACTATCTTGTCCCGAATAAAGTGACAATCAACTTCAATATGCTTTGTTCTCTCGTGAAACACAGGATTGGCAGCGATATGGATAGCTGTCTGATTGTCACAGAACAACTATAAAGGAAGTTGAACTGAAAACTCAATTTCTTGGAGGAAGTGTAGTAGTCAAGTCAACTCACTCGTCGTATGTGTCATTGCCCTATACTCAGATCAACACTGGATCTTGCTACCACGGATTATTTCTTACTTTTCCATGAGACAATATTACCTCCTAAGAAAGTACAATAACCAATGGTTGATCTCCGATCAGAAGGAGAATCAGCCCAATCAGTATCTGAGAAACCTTCCGCTCTAAGATGTCCATTAGCTCGATATAACAGTCCAAGTTCAGGAGCTCATTTGAGAAATCGCAGAATACGAGTAACTGCCTCCCAATGTAGTACTCTAGAACACCCCATAAACTAGCTTACTATTATGACTGCATAGGAAATATCCGGTCGAATAATAGTAAGATAATTAAGTTTTTCAACCAATCAGCGATACCGACCCGGATTCTCAAACAATGCACCATCATCCATCAATAATTTCTGATTCAGATCCATAGGAACATCAATCGGTCTACCACCCAGCAAACCTGCTTCCTCAAGCATGTCAAGTACATATTTCCTTTAGGATAAACAAATGTCCTGTTTAGATTAAGTCACCTCAATACCCAAGAAATACTTGAGTTTTTCCAAATCTTTAGTATGAAATCGATCCTGTAATAATATTTTTAACTTGGCAATCCCCTTATAATCATTTTCAGTAATCACAATATCATCTACATAGACCACCAATAGGACATGTCCAGCATCTGTCTATCAATGAAATACAGAATGATCTGTTTGACATCAAAGAAAACCAAACTCTAAAACAGCATCTGAAAACTTACCAAACCATGTCCTAGGTGACTGCTTCAAACCATACAAATATTTCTTTAACCGACATACACTCTTACCATACTCCTCCTGAGTAGTAAACTCAAGTGGCTGCTCCATGTATACCTCTTCAACCAAGTCACCATATAAGAAGGCATTCTTGATGTCTAACTGAAACTTGGCCAATCAAGATTAGCTGCCAAAGAGATCAAGATACGAACAGAGAAAATTTTGGCAACAAGAGAAAAAATTTTCTCATAATCAACACCATAAGTCTGAGTAAAGCCCTTTGCAACAAGTCGGACTTTGAGACGCTCCACAGAACCATCTAGATAAAATTTAACAGTATACACCCAACGACAGCCAATAGTTTGTTTACTAGGGGGTAAAGGAACGAGATCCCAAGTCCCATTATGATGTAAAGCATCCATCTCTTCCTCCATAGCTTTCTCTAACCCGGATTAGATAAGGCATCCTGTAAATGCTTAAAAATAGATATAGCAGATAATTGAGAAGTAAAACAGGAGAAAACAGGAGACAAGGCATCATATGAAACAAAATAAGAAATGGAATAATTAGTAATACACGAACGAGTACCTTTGCGAAGAGCAATAAATAAAGAGTCTAAATTACTTGATGTACCAAGATCAAAAGACGGCAAGGAAGACAGTACGGGCACCTCAGTCGATGGATGAAGACGACAGGAATAGACATGTAGAGGTAAAGAAGATGGTAACACAGTGGACAGCAGAATGTCTGAAGATGAGGAAAGAGATGATGGTACAGGAGATGATCCAAAGGCTCAAAAGGTGCTGGAAAGTATGGAATAGATTCTTCAAACATGACATCGGTACTAATAAAGTATCAGTGCAGAGAAGGACTGTAACAACGATACCCTTTCTGCGTGCGGGAGTAACCAAGAAATACACATTTGGTAGCTCGAGGGTCAAGTTTGTCAAACCCAAGACCCAAATTGTGAACATAGGTAACACATCCAAAAATCTTAGGAGTCAGGAAAAATAAAGGCTTATCAGGAAAAAGGACAGAATATGGACTTTGCCCATTTAACACAGATGATGGCATACGATTAATAAGATGACAAGCAGTAAAAATAACATCACTCCAAAAATATCAGGGAATATTAATCTGGAATAACAGGGCACGAGTGACTTCTAACAAATGATGGTTGTTGCGTTCAGCAACACCATTTTGTAGAGAGGTATAAGCACAAGAAGTCTGATGAATAATGTCAGTTTTACTAAGATAAGCTGAAAAAGGATCAGATTCATATTCCCGAGCATTATCAAAACATAAAATACGAATACGACACCCATACTGAGTTTTTATTTTCTTACGAAATGTCTCAAATATAGAGAATAATTCAGACCGAGCTTTTATTAGAAACAACCAAGTCACACGAGAATAGTCATCCACAAATGACACAAAATAAGGATATTTATTAGATAAAATATTTTTTATTGGATCCCATACATCAGAATGTACCAAATCAAATGGACTAAACATACGATTATTGACTCGAGACTGAAATGACACACGGTGATGCTTACTAAGTTGACAAGCTCACAAGATAAAGACGACACAGAACTAAGACTGAAAACCTAGCGCTTCAGATTTTGGAGAGAAGGATGTCCAGGACGACAATGCCACTGAAAAGGAGATAACGAGGTCTATAAAGCCCAAGTAGGTGAATCAAAATCAAAGTAATATTGGCCACCAGCTTCATGTCCCGTACCAATCTTCCTCTTCGTCTTAAGATCTTAAAAGACACAATAACAAGGATAAAAGGTTACAGAACAATTGAAAGAACGGGTAATCTTGCTAATGGAAAGTAAACTAAAAAAAAACTGAGGAACCAATAATACGGAAGATAGGGACATATCAAGACTCAAGTTAGTAGTCCCCAAACCTAAAACTTTAGAACAAGTGTCATTAGCAAGAGTAACACTACGTGTGGAGGTATCAGACTGATAAGTAGAAAAAATATCAGACGCACCAGTTATATGATCAGAAGCGCCAGAGTCTATGATCCAGGGACTGCGATTGGAGGACAATAAACAAGTGGAATCAATACCTGATTGGGCAAAAGTAGCAGTGAAGAGAGATAGAACAGCCAGTTGCTGAGATAGAAACTGAGCATATTCCTCTCGAGTAATAGTAACCAATCTAGTGTCTTGCTTGGGTTCCATAACAGTGCAGCAAATAACAAACAAAGAGTGCTGCAAATACCAAACCAGAAGAAAAGACGAAGGCTGAAGGCCTAAACCGGACAGAATTGGACCTGATAAGGTTATTTGAAAACTGAACCAGACCACTAGAATACTGAACCGGACCACTGAACCAGACCAGTGGAGTCTGCTGGAAGGCTGAACCGGAAGAAAGGAAGTAGCTGGAGTACTAAACCAGGCTGAAAATTGGGTTAGACCGCTGAACCGGACCGGAAAAGTAGGTTAGACCACTGAACCGAACCCCTCCTACTTGCTGGAATGCTGATCTGGGTTGGAAAACATGGCAGAACCACTGAACTGGACCAACAAAGTTCTCTGGATCGCTGAACCGAGCCGGTTTAGCTTGCTGGAGCACTGAACCGGGCCAATTTTGCTTGATGGAGCACTAAACCGGGCTGATTTTACTTGAAATTAGTCTGAACCAAACCAAACAATGGATTTGGTCAGATTTGGGTTGACCCAAAGTGGATCGGGTCGGGCTTTGTCTTCTTCGCTGGTTAGGGTTTCAGAAAACCCACTTCCTGCAACTACGCCTCCACTGCACCACACCACACCACCACGAACCAAATACGAACCACCACAGACAACCACGAACCAAATACGAACCACCACAACAACCACCAATAACCACCACAGACCACGCCAACGATGGACCACCACACAGCCACCACAGACCACACGATCACAACAACCACCACAAACCACGCCTGACCACCAACGATGAACCACCACAACAGCCACACAAACCACAACCGCCAAACAACACATAGCACCACCATGATGAACAGAACAACACCACCACAACAATAGCACTTCTACAAACAAAATTTATTCAGAATATATATTTATGATCGTATATAGCTTTGATACCATGTTAGGTTTAGAGAATTAACACAATATTAGAGAGCAACAGAGATAGGTTAAAAAACATAACCTAGTTCTCATACATCACTTGTATTTATAGTTAACTCACAATAATAAGAATTACACATAATACTCTAACACTATTAATAATTTACACATATTACTCTAATACTCTTAACAACCAGAAATCATCTTCCCTACGTCAACCCCTTCTTCAAGTGTCATAAAAAAGCTATCTTTTTTGACGTATATTGGCGCACTACAGATATGAATACAAATAATGGGTGATTTCTCTGGATACCACCAAGCTTTCACTTTGTCATAAACAATACAAATTAGCCAAATCTAAAGATATTGTTAATGGTAGGAAGATAGATATTGGTTGAAGGTAGGTATGCAGATAGATATTGTCACTTACTCTGTTATAACAAGGTCCAACAGAAGTCGGTCAATTTGAGCAGCTCCAAGATGCCTATCAGGTGTCATATTATAATCGCCTGTGTACACCATAGCAGTATCTCCCACTTTTGCATAAAACATTGCAGCTCCAAGAACCTTAAAACAGGGTGTGAGAAGAAAATGTTCAAAATAAGAAATAATTTAGAAGTGACCTGATAATGACTACTAGAAAAGGAACTACAAAAAGGCATGACATGGAAGCCTAAGGCAATACGAGCAAGAAAAGACAAGACATAAGCCAAAGGAGAGAACCACCCCTGGTTCAATTAAACTGCACAGATGCTAGATAAAATCCTTAAACATAACATGTTCATTTTACAGATCACTTACTGGGATCAAATGCAGAGAAAGAAGTATTGCACATCCCATGTACATCTGTCCATGAAGTTTAATTTTCCTAAATATGAAGTAAATAAAGAGAAGTGTCATACAGGAAAAATTATGAGAATAGATATAATGCTCCAGAAAAGCCTTTTACATGTGTTTCTTAGGAACAACAAAGAACAAAGGTCTCAGTTCGTTTTCTTTTTCAATACAAAGCCTTCAACCTGATCAACAAGGAGCTTGGGGCAGAGAACCATTATTTTCAAACTGAATACCAGGTCTCAAAGAAAGACGTGTTTGTAGCAGTTGCACTAGTGTCCCCGATCTACTCACTCTTATCTTCATGTTCCTACTCTAGCACATTAGCCAAGAGCCTCCTATCCAGTGCTGCTACAACTAATCAAAACACAAACCTCTGTACAAGCACAGATATTGACTGAATTCCTCTTGGAAAGTAGCCTATTACAATATATGGCAAATTCACCCCGAAAAACATATAAAGCGTGTTGCCAGGATACAGAGAGGTAATCCTACTACGATACCAAACTGATGCAGGAAAGCATTTTTAAACTTGAGAAAAATCATGTGTACAGTTGATGTTTGTTGAAGTCTCAAAGAGTCAGAGAGAGGATGCAAGGCTTGCGAGTCAAAATGACAGATTTGGCTTGTTTTTTTGTAAGGAGTTCCCTTGTGAAAAGTAAATAAGGTATGCATCATTTAAGTATTTTTAAGCGCTAAAATGAAATTCAATGGGTAAACTGCATAAACAAAATTAGGGGTTGTCTAAGGCACTGAACAGCCATCCAAGAAGAGGAACAAGAGAAGAAGAGGAGGAAAAGATCTTCCTAGAGCCTTAGCACTTGCGAAAAAGAAAAATCATGACATACCTCTTCAGAAATTTCAATTTTAAAATATCAGATATATCATATCAAAAAAGTTTCTTTGAGGAAGTTTGTTCATTCAGATTGCCAAACAACACAGACTTCAACCTGACGCAACTGCCATAGTAGGCTTGAGACGTTGAACTTCACAGATAATCTCATTTTCAAGAGAAGGACAGGCCATCCTGGTTTCATAGATTTACTAATATGACCTTATTATCTTGGTTTGATACATAACTACATGTTTGGAAAGTGGAGTCTTTCACTTGCATCTTTGTTCCTAATCCTTATCGCTTGTCTCAGGTCCATATCATCATATCTATTGCTAATCTGGTTTGCTCTTCCTCTTGATTTGAGTACAATTTTAATTTTTCAAGGAATTTAACTGAGAGGGACATTATGGGACATTCCTCTTTGTTATTCATGCTTGAGACTGTGTCTACGGAGTTCGGATTCTTTGGCTCCTAAAATAAGATTTGGGTCCCTGGTTCAGCTGGAATAGTTTTGTTAAAATTCAAATGTAAAGAAAATCGATCAAGAACAAACATAAAATATTTAACGTGGTTCGATCCTAAGAGCTACATCCACGACACACAAAACCCACAAAGGGCTACATCTTTATTATTCTTGATTGATTGGTACAAGTGGAATACACCCATAGATATAGGGAGACAAACACAATCATATCCCTTAATCATACGGATTGACATAATTCAAAATATCAAATCATGCCACTAAAGATGGCTAATTAATTGACTGATCAATCAGATAATATCTCATAATCATGGGATACATTTCTGTCTTCAATACTTCCCCTTAAGTTGGGCACGAAATTGTAGATGTGAAGTGTCCAAATTGAATAAAGACGAAATAAATGTCAGGATTGCAGCTTTCTTAAACATGCTAGGATTGCAGCGATTGAAGTTGCCAGGACTGCAGTGACTGAGATTGAATGGAATGACTCATCGTGAGGAGTTGATGCTAAGATCTGTGGCCATCTTGATATACTCCTCCGGAATGATTAATTGGGAACAAATACGTGCACGGAATGACCATCCTGTAGACATGAAGTGAAAAATAATGACCATCGTGATTGACATCATGCAACAGAAGGAAAAATGCTAGGAATGACACCTCTTGCAATTTGGATCCAAAGTAATTTAGGGCCAAAGGAAAATTTGGACCAAGAATAATTCAGGCCAAAAGGAATTGGCCCAAGGTTTATTTTGGTCTCTCTTGATGTGAAATAATAATTTAGGGGAAACCAATACCTGGCAGTCATGTTTGCCTAGGCCTTCCATGATAGATGTTGGCGTTCATGAAGAAGAATTCTGCCTCAACTGAGCATAGGAGTGCTCTTGCTGCTAAGGCACAGATGGTAGGGTGACACAAAGTCACCAAGACAGACGTTGACAATGGCAAATTAGTAAGGTGGTTAAGATCAAGTTGAAATATAATCTTCAAAAGAGGTGAAGTAGAAGAACATGACTATGAATGTGATAATAAACCACCAAAGCATTGATTTGTAGGCAGACTAGAACGAAATAAACATGAACAGTTGGTTACAATTATGAAGCAGAATTCGGTGGAAAATAGAACAGGAACAATCGATTACTCTGATACCAAGTTAAAATCAAAATGTAAAGAAAATCGATCGAGAACAAACACAAAAGATTTAAGGTGGTTCAATCCTAACTCCAAAGACCTACGTCTATGGCACACAAAACCCACGAATGGCTACATCTTTATTATTCTTGATTGATCGGTAGTCGGTACAAGTGGAAGACTCCCATATATATTCGGTGACAAGCACAATCATGTCCCTTAATCAGAGGGATTGATATAATTCAGAATATCAAATCATGCCTGCCACTAAAATGGCTAACTAATTATAAATCACATAATATCCCATAAATCATGGGATACATTTCTATCTTCAATTATTGTATTGAAAGTTGTTCTTCCTTTAGTTGATTGATGATCAATCTGTCTTATTTTTGAACCATCCACGCCGATGTTAAAGGCCTAAGTACCTACTAAGGTACATGTTTTTGTATGGACCATTGCTCATGGTAGCGTAGAACCTTTGATTTCATCCAAAAAAAAAGGACACATGCGTATCTTTCTCCTAATTGGTGTGTTATATGTAGAAGTTGTGATGATAGCATTGATCATTTATTTCTTCATTTATTTCTTCATCACCCTATGGGGTAAAAAAAGGGTATAAATTATTTGGAGAGATAAGGATGGATTGGGTGATACCACGTAGTTGTGTATCCATGTTTTTGGAGGACTGTAGAGGACTTGATAGGAGAAAGAAAGCCGGTGTTTTGCGCAGTTATGACTGGTTTTAGGCAATTTGGAAGGGATGGAAGTAACAGAATATTGTTATGGCAAAGAAGATTCAGAAGAAATTCTATGGAAGAGGTCAAGTTATTGCCTACATTATAGCTTTGGTTACTTGTAAATTTAGAGACATTCCTTTCTTCTGTAATTATCAAGATTGGGTTGTGGTTAGTGGATAATGGCAATTGTGTTTGTTTTCTGATTTTGGATTGTTGTAACTTGGATGGATTCCTTATCCACTATCTTTGTACTGCTTTTCAGTATGAATAGAGTTTCGTTGCCTATGGAAAAAAAAAAGGTGACCTTACCAAGGCAACTAGCTCCAATAACATATCTAATAGAATGATACAGCACCTTTGAGCTCCACCAACTCCATCTCTTTTGTTGAAGAAAGTTTAAAAGAAACACACAATTTGTTGAAAAAATGTGTGGTTCATTCTACATCCTATTTTTCCATGTTTGGCATTCAACAGAATACAGGTTGCTCATTCGTATGGTTGACTCAACCCATGTTGAGGAGTGTAGTTATCACGAATCTTTGGTTAGTGAAGTAGCAGTTATTTAGTTATTAATTCAAAGAGCTTCCACAATTATTAAAGGATGTTAATAAAAGTTAGTTTATAAAAAATTTCCTGCAGTCCTGCCTGTTGAGCTATTGTTTTAGCTATAAAAATTAAGCTTGAGGTATGCTATTGTGCCTAAGCCAGACGACTTGCCAAGACAAATAACTCACTCACTATACAACCCAAGTAGTTCATGGTTTTCCTGATTTGCATTTGGTCATTTTAATGCTCGACCCACAGGAGGGGGACTGCCCAGAAAAGAGGCTATACAATGCATGTTATTAGACAATCACATTTAAAAAGCTCAGTACAAGTATAAAGCTATAAGACATGACCATGAACAAGAATTAATACTTCATTTCGGTCAAGGATCGAAATATCGTTTCGGTGTATTGTTTCCGTCACCTAGGAAACGGAAATGTTTCAACGTGTTTCGGAAACGTTTCAACCCATTTCGGAAATATAATGAAAAAAATAAAAAATTTAAGAATTATTTTTCTAAAATATTGATGAAAATATATCAAAATATGTTGAAATACCTTGAAACATTCTAAAACCATTATACAAATGCATTGAAATATTATAATACATTTAGAAACATTATGGAATATCTCGAAATATCAGAATTCGATTTTATCACTATTTCGTTTCAGTCTCCTTGGAAACGGAAACATTTCGGACGTGTCGACCGTTTCGAAACGATATTTTGATCCTTGATTTCAGTACATAGTTTCGATCAGCTAAAAAAACACAACGTTGTGGAAATAGAATGGACAACGAAAAAAATTTACAATTTCGATGCCGAAACTTTGGAATTTCCATTCCGAAAAGTTGGAACTTTAATTCTCAACCATTAATTCATTTCACTTTCCACCGACACTAAAAAGTTTTGGTCATTTTGTCTAAAGCAAAATGTAACTTTGATCGTTGACCATGAGAAAATATTAAGTCTGGTGAGAGAAGGAAAAATAGATAAGCAAAGCAGAAATCATGAGTAGATCAAAAGTGGAACGACTTGAAACCAGAGGATGCAACAGCTACAAATTCCATCAATGAGCTCAAATGCAGCTCTGAACATAGTGCACACTTGAGGTATGAAGTTCAGGAACCTTACATGCCCTGCATAGTAGGCACGAATCTGCAGATCTTTATCTACCTGCACAGTCTGCTTCAGATCCACTGCTGTCACTGCCATGCAATTACCACAATCAAAACAACATAGCTTAATTGAAGTGAGAAACAGAAGAATGATAACATAGCAAAAGAACAATTATCAATTCCGTTACCACAGTTGACTGTGTGTAACTGCACAGTACTTAACTTAAGCATTATATGTTGAAAGATGTTCGCATTGGCACACTTAGTTTTCCAGAAAGTGTCTACACAAGGTTGACTACAAATAATAAAAATAACTCATTTTGAATTTCAGCTTTAGAAAAGCACAACAACGGTCAAGATTATATTCATCCAATTTTATTTAACAGTGCAAAATTCATCCAAAAAAAAATTTTCACCGTCCAAAGTTAAAAAAATCCCGCCCCTACCTCTGCCTGGCACTCTCCCCTAGTCAGACCCACTCTCATCTCTCTCTCCTATTTTCTATCCTCTCTCCACTCTGTTCCCTCTCTCCCCAACCCAGCAACCCTTTCTCTCTTTGGCTTCCCACTTCCACTCTCCTACCTCCTATCTCCCTCTTCGACTCCCCACGACGACGTCATGGAGCCACCAGTGCCAACCCGCCATCAACAACATAGCCACCACCAATGAAGCCTTCCAGGTATCCCCTCTCTGACTCCCTCCCTCCCTCCTTCTGTCTCCCTCTCCCTCTCACACACACAGCACACACAAATGCCCACAACACACTTCGTTTGATATTTTGGCCCGATTCCAATTTCAGTTAATTTTTTCATATTCCATATGTCACTTAGTCACCTCTGCATTCTATTCAATTTCCAATTGAATTTGCTATTTTTTTATTTGAGTATGCTTACATCTTTATTCAATTTCCACCTTTTTTGGCTTGCTCACAAGACGTTTGAGAAAAAGCTTGAAAAGATTTGGTTTCTCAGGATGTGATGAATCTGATGATTAGTGGGTATGTGAGAAACATTGAGGCTGCTAGATTACTGCCCCTTCCCTGCACAAACCCCTTCCTTCCTTCCCTCCAACACCGATAATGCTGGCCCATTTCCAGGTTTGCATTTCGAGTCAGCCCAAAATCGTCACCGCAAGCCACCAATGGAAACCCACAAATTGCCACCACAAATCACCATTAGATTCAATTCTTTTTGGCAAAAAGAAACTCAATTCAAGGGTAATGTTTCTTAACTGCTAATGCTCTTTTTTCCTTCGCTTCACTTCTGTTTTACGTGCAGGGGCAGAAAGGAAGAAGTTGTTGTAGCAAGCTAAACAGCTTCAGAATGTAAGATTAATACAAAAATTTAGGCTTTTTGTTTACTAACGAACGGAATTTTTGTTGTTCTATACTTTACTTTTTGGATAGAATTTTACACTGCAAAACACATAATTCTAGATAAAGACGTGTAGACCTAAATGTACACATGATGACCAAGTGTTTGATGATTTTCTCTCTTCTTTTTCCAGAATTTTCTGAAGCTTTTTATGCTACCTTTTTTAATACTCTACACAGATTTAAGATTTTTGTGATTGTTGGATGGACAGGGAATGGACTTTGTGAGGGGTTCAAGTAGGCAAAAGGTTTAATAAATAATTTAGTGGAATGAGATGTGAAATAACGGTGAGTAGAATTGTTAAGAAATTGATATGTGTCATTTTTTGAGCATTTGAAGGACAAAGGAAGGATCAATATTATTATAGATGCAGCAGGCAACTGAGATTGGGCTGATACTTTGTTCCTCATGCTCTAAAGGTATCAACCTCTTTTTCCTTTTCTTTACATTTTTTATATTGCTTAATTTTGAAGCAGTTAGTTGTTTGGTCGACACATGAGAGGATAATTATATATCAGCTTACAATATCTGTAATTTCACAAGAAATGGTCACTTGACTTCCAAACTGGACAATGAGATTTACTTTTCGTAACTGGCTTTGTGTTTTTTTTTTTTTTTTTTTTGTGGATTTTCTCTCTGTGTATGTATGTATTTATATGTGAGTGACATTTGCTTAGTCCTTCAACGTTGAATGTTCTAAGGCTTACATTTTAATAAAATGAGTTATTTGGTGAAATTCAAATAATTGCCGTTTTTCTTATTTTATGGACCATTCTAACTGTCAATTATTTTTTGTTATGCAATGCCTTCAAACATGGGCATTACTGGAAGGCAGTATGTAATTTAGATTCTTTTATCCTTAGTATCTCAATTGTATGTATTTTTAGTTCTGTTAAATATGCAAGAAGGTATTGAAGATGATGATTGGGAGGAAGTTAATTTTATTGGTTTTGGATTATGTGTTTGAGTTGTTAATTTTTTTTGTTACACAATGCCTTTAGGCACAGGTCCATTGCTAGTAAAGTTATACAGGAGATGAATGTAGGGGTCAACCATACTATAACTCTAGTGCACATGGAATATCAGCATTCTTAGCTTGTAAAGCAAACAAGAATTTATGCAACTTTGTCATTTGTTCTGCTAATAGATTGTGCTATAACTTACAAACAGATTCCCTCATCACCATCTAACAACTTGTGTTGACCATTTCAAACAAATGTCTGGTCATTTGATACAACAGGTGCACACTTCAAGCCCATGCTTGGCAGAGTACGGGGCCATTATACACATAATTTATCACATAAAAAAGTTGTCACAGAAAGCAGAATCTTCCCCCCCCCCCCCCCCCAAAAAAAAAAAAAAACCCAAAAGAAAGAAAAAAGCAATCCCAGATGACAGGAATCTGGTTGGGGAAGCCTTAGGCAGGGCTGGAAAATCAGTGACTTGAGATGGAATCTACATAAAAAATGCAGGACGGAAGATCAATTAAGCAAGCACTTTTAGCCAACTTATGGTTCAGGCAGGATAAGGTGAAAATCTTGTTAAGAGATAATTAGTCCCAAGACTGAAGAAAGGAGGTTTGCATTAGGTAAACAGCTAACATAAGACACCAGTAAATCCTTCATGAACATGACTCCTTAAGGTGAATCACAACATAAAACTGGAAATGCCCCAGATAGAAGAAGAGCTAATAAGTAGTGACAATAGAGAATTAATTCCCAGCTACAGCCATCTAAACGTGTCTACTCAGAATAGTAGATCTGACAATTGAATCAAATCAGAAAGAACCAATTGGATCACATTCAGGTATGTCCAACCCCAGCCAACGTGGAGCAAATTCAATGACCGGTTTATAATAAAGTGCAATAATAATTCCAAAATAAACGACAAGAACAATAACATTCCAACAAAAGAATATACAAACAGATTCCACTACAATCTGAAACTTTTTTAGCTTTTAAATAACTCACAAAAGAGGAATCAGCCATGAGTGTTTGACACGAAATCAAATGCCTATTCAACTTTATCACAAACAATTACTTGTGCTAAACTTGAAATCTTGACTCTAGCAGTAGAATTGAATTAGCAATCAACATGCTCTGACAATATAACAAAACTTAACTCAGAATCAGATTAATTGCATGTTAGAAATTAGAGAATTTGGTTAAAGCTCCTAACTAAATGAAAACTGGGCAAGCTAACAGTAACTATGCACAAGTCCAATTCAGAAAGAGGGGAAAAAAAAGGCAGAAGAAACACAAATATAACCAAAAAGGAAAAGGAGGATGACCTCCTCATATATGTAACAACAATGCCAAAACTCACACAAGACCACCTGAAAATGCCAAGTGCTGATATTCTTGATCATGTGAACAAAAAGCAAGTAGCAAAATTTCCCTTAGGAAAAACCATTTAACTTTTGACAGTCACCATAGCTTTTTGCTAATCGCATTATATCACACTTAAAGGTAAGCACACTCAAAAGTCAAAAACGTCCTGCTGATTAAAAGAAAATGAAACAAAAAATTAACAGAAAAGAAAAGGTAACTTTTTATTCTAGAGAGATTACTAGTGTGTGGTCTTTCTAGAAAGTTAATGACTCACATAGTAATAAGAGCCACAAGATGATATTAAGTTTACGGAATCAGAGTAAGAACAGAACAAATGACCATCTGAGTCTGGCTTAGGCAGAGCATCAAGAAGGGTAGATTAAATACAGACTTAGTTTTGGCATGTCATGCCCAGAACTAATTTAAATACACAAGGGAACCTTAAAGTTTTTCCAACCTCGCACGAATCTGAAAGGGTATAACTGTCCATGGAATGGATTAATGGAAAAAGGTGGGAACATAGAATCCCGCTTCCATACTGGAATCTTTATAGACATGCTTTGTCCTAGGGCCAAATGAACAATAGCTATGATCATTGCCCTGAACCAGCTTAAGCTGCAGTTCACAAGAGGTCAAGGAAGTAATATGGATCAATCCCACAAACGAGGCACCACCATTCAGCATAATAACTCTTCAATTGGTAAATATAGGGGTGTTCAAATTTTCAATTATCCGTAATTTCCTACCCTACCCAACCCTATTGATCAGTTAGAATGCAAAAAATTTTTTGGTCTTCTAATTAAATCGGGTAGGAATGCGGAATACCTATCAAATTTTCGTATTCCTACCCTACCCTATACACACACACACACACACACATATATATATATATAAAAACTAAAAACCCTAATTCTCTAACGCTTCGTCGCCTCCTCAGGGCCTCATCTGTCTCGCCTCTAGCCTCCTCATCTCACCTGTCTCACCTCTCTCGTCATCTCACCTCTCTCACGTTGTTATTGTATTTATGCAACAATTATAATGGATTGATGTTTTTGCCTTGGGCTTTCTTATGTTTTATTGCAATTGTTATTGTAATTGTTTTAGATTTTAGCATTATTGGTTTATTGTGTTATTAAATTGGTGTAGGTTATTTAATTGAATTGTTAAAATGATCCAAAAATTAATAACTACAAAACGTGTTCACCCGATTTCCTACCCAATTAATTTGGATGAAAGTCGATTATAAATACTACACTTGATCGGGTAGAGTAGGCTAAAAAAAATTATTCCACAAAGTATTGAGTAGGAAGATGGAAGACCATATTTCCTACCCATAGGGTAGGGTAAACACCTGTAAATAAATATTTGAAGCTCATAGGAAATAGCAAAAGTAAAAAAGGGCGCAACTTACCTTTCTTCATACATTCCACAATATTCTCAGAACTGAATTGTTCTTCTTCTCCCCTTCTGTCAACCATCACTTTCCGATAATCCTCCAACATCAAAGGAGCTAAAGCTTTTGTTGGATACTGCAAAATGTCAAATCTGAAAATTTTGTTAACTTATATATTTCTACAGTTGACAACCAATTTGAAAGTTCACAGTTCACACACAACTCCATTAAATCAATTCTATAAACCAAAAACCATATGAAAATAATAGAACATCATTCCTAGTCACATAAAGAATGTGAATTAGAACAAACTAAAATACATTCCTATGACCCAACATAATAATTAATCAAAATAAAAGCATCTCGCAAATAAAGTAATAAACAAATATGATAGCTATTCAAATTAAAAGTTATCTCAACACAATGGAAACTAACAAAAAATACTTGTCTTAGACCTAAAAAATTTATAGGGAAAAATCACAAAATTTTGAAAACAGCATAAAAGAAGATAACTGGAAAAGATGATCTTCATTTACAAAAAGAGAATGATTCCTTAGACACCAAAAAAGCTATGCGATTTAAGGATATCTCTCCAAATCAAAGTTTCGATTGAACTTATTCCAGCTATACAAAGTGTGCACCCATTTTCATTAAGAAGTACCATTAAGGCCCATGAGGAAATCTACCTCATGTTAATTGGTCTCATATGCCTCTCATTTTTCAATCAAAAATGAGCACTTAAACTGCATTGAATTCAGAATTGTAAATCGAAAACAGCCATATAAAACATAAACTCATTTCATTATTCATCAGCATGAATGACCAAAATTACCGTCATGTAAATTGGTCCTTTATATCCACAAACTTCGGTGAAATATGGAAGAGCTCCAATATGATCCAGATGACTGCATAAGTGAAGTAGACAATACCTATCAATTAATATCTAAACCACAATTCAGACTTATAGATAACCCATAATTCATGTTTATATATAGAGGGTCGTTACCCAACGTGGTCAAGTTAATCGAGGATGCTGAGAGGAATGGAGTAGACATAGACCTAATTTTTGACTTTATTTGCAAAAAATAGCAATCACTTCTATGAACCCAAAAGATTTGTGAAGCCGACTCTTTTACTGTTGCATTAGGCAATAACCCACAGTCCATGGTTAAGTGTGAGGAGGAGTTTGTCTCAGTATCTACCTTTAACCTATTCATTAACTTAAGATTTCCACACTTTCACAAACACTCATTTCAATATCCATCTTATTAGTCCCTCACTCTCCCACTTTCTCTCATTTAAATCTTAAAGAAAAAAAGTCTACTAATTAATAGAAAATTTTCAAAAATACTAGAATTATCTTATTATTAATGAGTATAAATGTGTGCATGCATCACGTGTCAAGAATATAGTGCACATAGCTATGTGTGGTTGTGTGTGTATACATATATGTTTTTAAAGAGAAAGGTATTATACAAATGGGTGATGATGATGCAAGTGAGTTCCTTATCAAAGTCCCCAGATTTCGAGATGAGAGAGAAATTGGGATATCGCCGGTGATCGAGATAGCCCATATGCATGCCGCAATCGAACATGATTTTCTTCCCATTGATTGTCACCACCACACAACTCTTCCCGACTTCTTGCCCTGCACCTGATCGCAACCAAAGATAATTCCCCTCACTAAAATCATCAACAAATAAATAACAAATATAGGCATACATATATTGCTCTGTGTATTAAGAGAGAGAGAAAGAAATAATACCTAGGACAAGACATTCGATGGCCATGTCTTCTCTGAATCCCTGTACTATAACCGTAGAACAAAGATCTTGATTTTCTTCGGGAGCTTTTATTTTATTTCTTACAATTTATGGCAATTCATGTCAACTTTGAACCTGGATCATCGCGTTCTTTGAATCCATTCTTACGGGTAAGACCATCCACATAAATATGGATACTGCTTCTACAATGGAATTAAAGACAAGTTACACATTTACACCAAAAGTGAGCATTGCTTGGTAACCAGGAAAAAAATTAGGCAAACTTTACACTCCAGTTAAGCCTATAATGCAAAATTAAAACTTGGCCAACCCAAAAAAAAGTTCTTGCATCTATAAAGGCCATAAATATAATAACTACCAATTCTAGTGATTTGTTCACATCCACAGTAATTGTTACTAATGGCAGCCTACTCTGCACAGTTACTCATCTATGATTATAACCTCCACCAATGTCTCCTCCACACCATCCATTCCAAGTTGGGCTATGAATTCATCTCCAGCCACCTCAAAGACAATTGTGGGCGGGTCAAACAAGAGCCAAGGCCTGAAGCACAGGAAGCATGCGTATAGATACAAGATACGATTATGATATGATATGGATATAACAATACGATAAAACTTTAAAAAATAGAATATGAAAACGACTAGGATAGGTCTTATAAAATAATATATTTTACATTTTACTGTTACCTGACGAGTTGATAATTATAAGTTCCAATTAATTATTTAACAAAAAATTAATAATTCTTAGTTTAAAATGAGTATAGATCGTCTCATTAAAGTATACCAATATATCACTTTTATAAGTTATTAAAGGAATCAGAACCAACATAAATAGTTGGTTTGCTTAAAAATCCTTGTTAACATGAAATGTGGTGTAATTAACTCATTTTATGCTCCGTTTACATGCTATAGCAGATGATACTTTAAGAACATTCAAGTGTTTCCAAAGTCATATAGATATTTCCATTAGTTGTATATGTGAATTCGAGAAGAAAATGTAAAGATTAAAATAAAAATTATACAAACTAGTATTCACTTTCATATCTGAAATATATTTGTTTTGGATATCTATCAGCAATGTGTCCAAGTATTTTATTTAAATTCAATCTGATACATAACAAATATCATATCCAATACGCTATCTGATACAAATACATCGACCTTAATGAAGTATATGTGTTTCATAGCATGAAATATATGCTTTCGATATCACGGTTCTCCTACAATAGTTCATAGACTACAAACAGGCAATTACGGGTGTTCAAATTTTCGATTGGCTACACTTTCTTACCATACCCGACCCTACCCTACTGAACAGCTAGCCGCAAAAATCGAATAGGAATGTGAAAGAGTTTTTGGTCTTCTGATTAAATCAGGTAAGAATGCAGAATACCCATCAATTTTCGCATTTCTACCTACCCTACCTGCAAAAAATATATTTAACTCTTTTATATATATTTTTTAATAATTATAATAGTATTTGTGTGGTATAATTTATATTATAACATTGTTATTATTGTGGATGTTTGAGTTGCTAAAACATGAACTTGTTTTTTTGTGTAAATTTCATGATTTGTGGTGAACTGGTGATTTATGAGAACAGTTATGATTTTAATGTGTTTCATATGATTTAAACTTAAAACAATTGTTATTGTATTTGTGTAACAATTATGATAGATTGATGTTCATACTTTTTTGTGTTTTATTATAATTGTTGTTGTAGTTGTTTTAGGTTTTAGTGTTATTAATTTATTGTGTTGTTAAATTGGTGCATGTTATTTAATTGAATTGTTAAAATGATCCAAAAATTAATAGTTATAAAAGTGTTTACCTAACTTACTATCCGATTAATCGGATAGGAATACCACACCTGATCGGTAGGGTAGACAAGAAAAAATTCTTTCCCAAAATATCGGGTGAAAAGACCGAAGAATATATTTTCTACCCGTAGGTAGGTAGGGTGAACTCCCCTACAGGCAACGTGCAACTATCTTCAAATGCCCACGTGAATTATGAGTCTCATATATATGTAGTTTCGCATAGTAGAATGAGCTTTATCAACCAGTCTACAGTCTATTCCATTAAACACCTAAAGAGCCCACAAAAATTGAGATATGAAAATAATAGTAGCAAAAATTATTTCTGTGCGATGTTTTTGTTTGTGTGCGATGTATTTGTTTGCGTGCTCTGAGTGTGCGCTGGGGGGGTGTGCTGGGTGAGTGTGTGCGATGAGTGTGGGTGTGCGCATGCTGTATGTGTACTCTCTCTCTCTCTGTGCTGTGTGTGTATTCTGTGTACGTTTGTGTGCGATTGGTGTGTGTGCGTGTTGGGGGTGAGCGTGTGTGTGTATGGAAGAGCAGAGAATAGAAGAGGGGGATAGATAGGGAGAGAAGGAAGTATGGAAGAGCAGAGAAGAGGGGGAGAGGTAGGGAGAGAAGAAGACTTACCTTAAAGTCCGGGTGGTGGTGGGCTATAGCGCTGGCGGTAGCGTTGGCTATAGCAGGGTGAAGAGAGAGGAGAATGGCGAGAGAGAAAGAACAGAGGAGGGGGGCTGATAATTGAGAGAAAAGATAGATGGGGAGAGACAGAGGACAGTGCGTGGGTCTGGGCGCAGATGATTAGGGCATACACGGAGGAGGGATTTAAGGGATTCAAAAATGAATGAATTTTACAATAACTCTCAGACACAAGTACTTCCAAGAAAACTAACTACTTAAATGATGATTCTGATTCTTTTAAGTGCCACGTTTATGTTACGGATATACTAGGAATAATTCGTGCATAAAAATATGATGCAATAAAAAAAAATTGAACACTGAACTCAAACACGTACAAAGTTGAAAGAGTAAATTGCACTTATAATCCGTACAGGAAGGCACTGTAAAATTGAAAAAAAATATATATATATTATTCTAGAACACGAAACAATCAGACACCGAACATAAACTTGCATTAAGTTAAAAGTCTAAATTTTATTTTTAGACTATAAACCCCACGTGACAATCTGTGAGTTTAATTGGATCAATCAAATCAATTTGTGCCTATACAAAAGACCAAATAAAATGGATGAAGTTGAAAAATAAAAATGTTCTTTATATTAATCTAAAGTTAACTTAAAACTATTCTTTAATACATGACACACAACAAATGCACCATATGAATACTTGGAAAAAGTGACATGCCAAACATAAAATTGTGTGATACAACCACTTTCTCAAAATTTTAGAAACAATCCATAAAATTTTTCAATCCCAAATAACTTCCATCACACAACAAAATGACATTTCCTATTTTTAAATCAATGTCTACTCCAATCAATCAACAAAACTTACATTACAAGTACATAAAAATTACTACAAGTGAGAAGGTTTTTACCCTCCAAAACCTCTATAATAATATTTGATAGACCCGAATCTGCGCAACATTAATCAAATTAATAATTCACTCAATGTTAATTGTTCCAAAAAAAAATGTGAATCCCAAATCTCAAAATGCAAGAAAGAGATAAAATTCATGAAATTTTCATGCAAATTAATTTGGGGGAATGAATGAGGGTTATTATTTGGGTGTAATTACCAAACTCAATTACTTCAAATATTAACCAAATGAAGTATTAAAATTATGCACAATTACTTCAAGATACGTCTCTAGCACGTTGTTTTCTAAAGAAACGTAATAAGAGAGAAATATTATATTCCAAAGCAATGTTAATTAAAAACACAATTGAATAATTCACAACTTCAAGATTGGATTGAATATATAAAACTTAAACCCTAAACCTAAATTTTTGTAGAAAAATAAATAGCATCTAAGCGAGGCAAAAATTTATACATAATCAAAAAAAATCATGGGACATATTTCCTAGCAATCATAGAGAGCATGAAACAATAAAAACAAAACAAAACCATGATTCGAGCGAACGTCCAACACCCAATGATTTAACTTTGGCAGTCACTAAATCATAAAGCAGAAGTTGTGAACCCATTCCTGTTGAAAAAAAGATCGCAAGAAGACTGTCACGAGTTGCTTAATCTGCAGAACTCACAATGGCAAATTAAAAATTTTATGATCTTTGAGCTTTAGTTGTTTTTGGAAGGTGGTCTTTATTAAATCACATTGAGAATCATATGTGCAATTATTTGAGTTATCTTTTTATCCATGGCTAGATCTATAAGGGTCTTTTGCACTATTAGAAGTCATGGTTCAACTGCTGGGGTGTCCTCTCAAGTAGTTTATGCATTCCACCATATCTTTCTTTCTGCACGAAAAGTGACGTACATATGTTTGCGTTCGATTGTGCATAATGATTGAATATGAGTCTACCAAAAAGAGAAGAAAAAAAGAACAAACCGGTGAGGTGATAAGGAAGACAAGAAAGAAAAGGCGGTGGATGGAGAAAACAAAGGGCTGAGATTTATCCCAGGTACTGCCCTCTTTGCAGATGGCCACTCGCTACTCCTCCCAGTCATAACTACTACTGATGTTGCTGTTTCTTCTTCTTCGAGTGTTAACAGCAGCGGCGGTGGTGGTGTTGCTGACGAAGTGGCGGTGATAGTAAGGAGCATAACAGAGAGATAACAGAGAAAGAGATAGACATAAAGAGAGTGATGGTAAGGAACGTAACAGAGAAGTAATGAGAGAAAGATAGAGAGAGAGAGAGAGAGATGGTAAGGAGTAAGGAGTAACAGAGGGTGGGCAAAAAAAAAAGAAGAAACAGAAGGGAAGGGATGGTTGTCTGACAGAAGGGAGGAAAAAAAAAACAAGAGGGGAGGCGGTGACAAGTGAGGTGACTGAGGGGTAAGTTTTTTGAAAATAATTGTTGGTGAAAAACGATGAATTTGGAGGAAAATAAAAGAGTATCGGTAGTCGTTAGATAAATTGATTTGAAACTGTTGGATGTTGAAGCCGTCATATTTTATATTATAGACTAGCCAAGACGATTTATTTTTTAAATTAAAATCATATATTTTTGGGATTTCTTGTTATATAATTTGTTAAGTCTATAATAATGAAATATCATATAATAACAAAAACAAAAATATATTTTGTTTTTTTATGTCTTATTCTTTAGGTTTGAAAATATAAAACTTAAACAAGGTGTCATTTACACTACCAAGGTTTGCCAAAATTCTCATAAATAGGGCACCATTTATACTAAATAGCATAACTATCAGAATTGGTGGTCTAGTGGTAAAGCATGTCCGCTTCAGAGTCATCCTTGCTTTCAAGTAGTTATCAAATAGGGTTTGATTCACAAGGTTATCATATCTTGTTACTTAAAATGTTTTTGGTAATTTTTTCATTTTTATAATTTTTATAAAAAAGAACATAACTAATTTTTGTTTTTTTAGGATAAAAATTAAAAATATAAAACATATTTAGTAGTCATTTATATTTAAAAAATTATAAAAATAAAAAACTGTTTGTTATTATACCAAAAATTCACCACCTAAACCCCACCACTGAAATTCACCCCCTACCACCGTAACCCACCCTTGAAAATCCACCAACACCCAATCTTACCATTACCTTCAAAAATCCACCCTTGAAACTCCTCTACTAGAGAAGGGCGAGAGAGAAAGACTCTGAGAGTTAAAGAGATTTAAAAGGATAAAAAAAAGTGAAAGAGAGAGGGACTTTTTATATCAAGCAATAAAATCCATATTTTATTGTTAAAGAGGATCAAAGTCAAAATCTCATTAAATGAGACATTTTGAACAACAAGTTTGTTTTTTGTTTTTTTTTTTTTTGATGTTTTTATAATTTAGCCTTATTTTCAAAACGGAGCAGTTAAATAAAATGAAAACATTCACCAAACTCCTTTTTTTTTGCCGTAAAATGAAAAAAAAAACAAAAACATAAAGTTACTAAATGACACTTTAAGCTTTGGTGGTGGTGGTGTGGTGACGAACTATTTTAAAAGAATTGTAGTTATAGCTAACCGAACATTCCACATTAGATAAGATCCTTATGGTCACACCCCGAAGGTGTCATTGTCTACTGGTTGCACCTCTCCTCCGTTTATCCTAACCAAAAATATATATATATACACACACTAAACAGCATAGTTTGCTGTTTTCTTCATTTCTAAAACAGCAGTGGGCAAACTTCATTTTATCCATAAGTACGAAAAATCCTCATTCTATTAATCAGTATTTAGTTACAGCTTTATTCGTACATGGGGCCACGACCAAGTTACCTAAGTTGTTGGTGCGAGTGTTCTATTTCTTTATACTGATTGATATTCTAGTTTCGTAATTTAAATCTATGCATATCTATTATCAATTGTAAAGATACAACTAAAATTAACTCAACTCAACTCAATATTATTCCAATTTTTTTGGAGTCAGTTATTTATAATATAAAACAGGACACGTTTCAATAAACTTATCCAACGGTCTTAAATAGACTCATCAAACGATCACAAACATCTCTCACAAAATCATTCACATTATACCGTACCTTCATACACGAATTATCCATAATACAAATTATATTTTATCACTGTCAACATGTGCATTCTTTATTCTTTTAATTTTAGAGTGTAACCCGTACAGGTGATCTAGTGGTGTTGATTAAAGTTGAAACGAAACATAAACTTAAACATCTTAAATTTGATTCTCGGTAGTGCCTTTCAAGTTTACTTTTAATTAGCGGGTTATTCAAAATTTTCTCAACAAAAATGACTTTAAAGTAGCCTTGTATTTTAAAGAATCCTCGTAGCCATGGAAAATATTAAAATCGTGTGAAACCCATCCTCCTTTGTCAATTTTAGACGACCTCTAGCCCATGCCTGATCCAGGAATCCTTTTGTTCTTGCCATTGTTGAGCTCGTTCATGAGAAAGATCTATTTGAATAGTTTTAAGTCGCACCAATTCCAACTACTTACACACATAGACCTTTACCTTTGGCTTGATGAAACCATATCATGTTGGAGACAGCCGTTTGACAATGCTGCTATTCTAGGCAATAGATGCTCATTCCTACAATTTAAGGTTGTGGTATCAACCATCAACATGAAAATCACTAACAAGTATCGGGTGCGACATCACACAACTGTATCGAGCAATACGAGCAAAGTGAACCACCAGAAGACATGACCTATGCGATCGAAAATCTATGTGCAAAGTGAATGTTCCCATATGGAAAAGAACAATAATATATACCATATATTCTTAGCATGTCCCCAAAAATTACAACACACATAACAAGATTAACCTAGAAATGCATAAATGAGTACTGTCACACACACAAAAAAGAGAATGACTGCACTGGAGCCTCACAATCAACGGCTATGTATGAAACAACAGGTGGACCTACCATCCTATTGGAAGAACATCATTGAAACGTCCATCGAGAAGCATCCAACAGCCACCCAGCCTCAGGGGCTCAAACATTCACCTGTTTCGAGTACTAATAAATGTCAGGCTCTACTAGCAAAGACCACAATAAAGATCAAATAAGTTTGGGACTGATTACAGGTTACTGGAAAATTATTTGCCAGTCCAACAGCTTTTTTGTGCACTGTACCAAGTGACATTGGTCAGTATGCGGAAATGGTCCAGTAGTTACTATACTTGAAATCTTTCAGCTTCACATCAATAGTGCAGACTGAAAAAATAGTGCCCTAAATCATTAATTCCCCACCCTCGCCACAATTTGTAAGTTTGCATGTCAGCAGAAGCGAAGATGCACACAGTCCTTTTGGTTTTTTTTCTGAAGGGGGCTGTGGGGTAATTAATTAGGCCTAGATAAAATGTTTGGTGAGGAAAAAACAAAGCAAGTTGGGTCCTAGTGATAGTATTATGTCTATTGAAGCACAAAAGCCATCATTTTTTCTACTTAGATGATTGAAAACAGAGAAGAAATGTTGTGTGATTCCATGCAGGGAAAGCCATTGTGCATGCTTCAAAAGAAATCCTAAACTCTGCAAATGAAGACAGCAATCACAATGCCATCTATGCAGAGGTAATGAAGAAAAATAAACAAAAACAAAAGGGGATTACAAGAAAATAATAAAACGTGTAAAATGGCTGGCAAACAAACTTCACTGTCATGTCGGCATTTCCTTGAATTAACACTGGAGGTAAATCCTCCAAGAATAAATCACCATATCCACTCAGCGGGTTAGTTGGAAGTCCAAACACCCATTAGCTAGTGCACACATACTCAATATACAAAGAGACACGCACCAACAAACAGATACAACATCAAAAGTGTCAATGTCACTCTGGGGATTGTTCCCCAAGGTCCATGCTGATGCAAAAATCGCCACCAAACATACGCGGACGCTATTCAGCACCAACTATATATAGAGCATCAAGCTTGTTTGAGCTTCCTTTAATGGAATGGCAGCATACTTGGGTTTCATCCAAAATGTGCGAAGAATGAGATGGTGTTCCACATTGCATGCACCTGACTGACTAAATCTATCAATTATTATTTGTTCTCTGCCATCGTGCCACAAAATTTCCTTGATCAAATAAGATTTTTCCATCCAAGATACACATAATTTTCTCCCCTTATATGTATCATAACATCTTGAGATTGGTTATGTATATTCTATGTCATTCCACTATGTTTAGGTCCATTTCAAAATGCATAAGTACCAGATATTTGCTTCACTATCTGACTAATGATATGTCTAGTCCTCCTGCCATCCATGTATGCCTAGCACCCCCTCCACAATTATGTGGATCGTCAACTTCAACCATATTTCACCAATTTACTCCAAGATGATTATTAATATTCGCATCATGATTTCAAAAAAGGCTAACACAAGAGGCTTCAAGGTACCAGGAAATTCAGAACTGAAGATAACACTAACATCAATTTGTACATTTCTTCGTAAGTGTAACAAAAATTACGCATGAGTACAAATATATCTATATTTAAAAATAGTGCATACGAATCTTTTGACCTTTATAATAGTGACAATAACAAACAAAAATTTCATACAATCCACCATTGGATTGTTTAGTCAAACATATGATGTCAATTTCATATGCTCCACCATTGAATAAATCTAAAATATCAATTTGGTTAAAAGAAGTTTGACCATATATATTTTGTAACATCTTTTAAGAATTTCACCATCTTAAAAGAATCCACTTAAACTCTACCTAAAGCCATAAAGTTGTGCATACGAATCTTTTGACCCATATAATATTGACAATTCGAAAATTCCATACAATCCACCATTGTTTGTAACATCTTTCAAGAGTTTCATAATCTTAAAAAAATTAACTTAAGCTCTACCTAAAGCCATAAAGTTTTAATTTCAACCACTTCGGAAGCTTACTTTCTGGCCATGATTGCTTCTAAGAAAATAGGAATGACACACAAATACAGATGGATAGAAAGCTGGTCAAGAGAACTATACCTACCTTACTTGATGTCAACTTGATAAGGATCACGGAGGTCTTCGGCGCAGAAGATAAAAAAGACTGAAATGAAGGGCTGACAAGATTATCAATGTGGAAAGATGAATAAGACTGGTGCACAATAAATAAAAGGGGATTAAATCATTGGGTCTCAACTATTGATTACTTGCATCTCATAATGACCCCATCCATTGTTTAGTATTTCGGCATGCACATGAGTGCTTGAAGGAATAAAGTGCAAATTTGCCTATGCAGAAGATTGTTGAATGACACGAATAGGAAAGGTTGCCTTGGGGATTCCTTGATACGAACCACATCATTCCCTCCTTGTGACCACTCCACACAAATTAATCATATTATCTTTCAAGATTCCTTATTCATATTGCCACTGTGTAACAAACGTCAATTATACAAGGCAGGTCATTTATAAACTGTAAAAGGGATGCATAATAATGCAAGCACTACAAGCAGAAGGGTAAACAAGACAGGAGCAACTGAACCAAAAAGGAAAAAAAGTCAATAGTCATATTATCTTTCAAGGTTCCTTATGGATATTGACCACTGTGTTACAAATGTCATTTACACAAGTGTAATGATATATCATTGTACCAGGGACGGCCACAGTATCGGTCATCGATTTAGAGAGTTTAGAGACACATCGATCGCGGTGTCGCAACACGGTATCAGGCGATACGACCTAAAAGAAAATGTTGAACATGACGAAAGATTCAAGTTATATCGCTATGTTGCGGAATCGTATCGGCCTATTCGGTGACAATAACTCGACAGCTCGGAATTGACTCGGACGACTTGGCTATATGTATTGTATAACGGTATTGTCTCGGAAAGTGCCGAGTCGAATACAACTTGGTCGACTCGTATCGATATCGACTGATACTTTGAACCATAAGGAAGTATGGTAAAACAAGCAATGTAGTTGCTCTTAACAACATTGCTAAGATTGGCCCTAAAAAATGAGGCACCGATCATAAAAAATACTTCTCGAGTGATAAACAAGTGGAATTCTTGGAATAAAGTGACTTATACCATTGTCACAATGGAAGAACCACAAGAATGGCAGCTCGAGACAATTTGAGCAAGGCCATCCCAAAAATAAGGCCAACAAAGTCTTGGCTTTAGACCCCACTTCCATAGACGGACCTATAATTTGAAATTGTATAGTTAGCCACAAAAAAAAAAATTGAATTTAAAAATATTTAAACCCCCGAAAAAAGTCCAATCAAAACTTAAGCCCAATCAAAAAGTTTCATATAGAGTAGTTCGGGCTCATAAATTCAACCTATTACATTAAATTGTAAAATATCAAAACTTTTGAAAAAAAGAAGAAAAATATATACAAAGAGGTCAAATCAAAACTTAACATCACTCATTCTTGAGTCATCCCTGAATTTGAGGTCTAAAATGATAACTATAAATAAGACCTTTTTATTTTTGATATTAATATTTTTTTCTTTAAAATGTATTCTTCTCATTTTTTGAGATCGAAAAGTATGGATTAAATTTTTATATTTAAGTTTTACTATTATATCCTTTTTAATTGCTTATATCACTAATTCACTAAATCTTTTATGTGACATAATCGGTCTTGGTTAAGATTATATCAAATGTAATTTAAAAAAAAACTTCTTTTTGTAGGAGTGGTAACCGGAATTATGCATGCAACACAATGATCCTTAGTATGGTTGGTGTTCAAGAGAGAGAGCTTCTTTGGCCAGCGCTTCAGGAGCGAGAGAGTGAGTGAGAGAGAATGAGAGGGAGGGTTTGTGTTACAGTAAAAAGAGAGGGAGGGCAAGTGTTAGTATTACCATAGGGGATAGAGAATGCGAGGGAGGTGAGATGATGTTTCAGATTTTCCAAATTTTGATTTATACCACACAGAGAGAGAGAATGAGAATGAGTAGTACTAAATTTTCGCTTCACCTTTCAATAGATATTTTTTTACAGTTAGATTTCTCAAATTTTTTTCAAAGATTTTGAATTTGCAGGATTTTAATGCTATAGACCGGATTGATGGGCCCAAACTACTCAATTTAAAAAATTCAATTGTGCTAAAACTTTGATAGGACCTTTTTGTAGGGCTTAAATTCTTATGAATTTAAATTTTTGGTTTGGCCTACCTACACACCTTCAAATTATGAGGTCTTCTTCGGAAGTGTGGCCTAAAGTCAAGGGTTGGTTGGCCTTATTGTTGGGCCGACCCTGAACCACATGAGACATTCCAACAGCCAAACAACAGTAGCCAGCATCAACATTCGCAGCCAGCATTGGGCAAGCACCTTCACAAGATGTTGAGCTCAAAACCACTGTGCCAACATGAAAGAAACAATCATTAAACAACTGTACCACAGGACTGTGTAGCAGACCTAACTTTGTGGAGGATAAATTTCCAACTCATTTCAATGAAGCATCTACATCCTGCAACCGATTTCTTATTCTGCAATTCAGGCAAAGAGGAGAACAACTTCCAACCACCTTGCCATTATGTAAACAGGTGTGCAGCAGCATGCATTTTCCAGTAAAAGGGGCTCAGCATTTCTTCTGGCTTGCATTAACTGCCAGACAAAAGGAAGCAATCAATGTATCAGACTAAATGAATTCAAAGGGCATATGCAATACTGAGACAAACAAGAATCAGAAGCACCACCTTTGTTTTGCACCTCAATCATGTCACAAATACAGCCTGGTCCATTACTTGTACTGAGAATGACAATTCACTTGAATCCTGCGCACTGAGAATGATAATTCATTTCAATCCTGTGGCAGATATGCACAGTTATAACAACCCGATAGTGGAACTAGCACATGAAGTTTGACCATGAATCCATCATGACTGCCAGGCTTTTAATCTCTGAGATAAACCCTCCTGATAAGCTCAAGTAAAATGCCAGAAGCAAGGTCCCAAAAGGATTTTCTTCCTCATGGCACTGACTCAATAGACTGCAAGTCACCAACAAAATTCATATATCACCCTCGTCCGTCCACCAAACTTCCTTTTTCGAAAAGTCGTCTCTTTTTCATCTCATCATGCAAACACGATATAGCAACTGCATTATCTTGCTTGACATAGCCTCTAATCAGGATATCAAAAACTGCATTGTCAGGAGTGATCCCCTTTTTCAACATATCATCAAAAACATGTTTTGCTTCAATCATGAGACCTTTATTAGCCAAACCAGAAATCAGAGAGCTATATGTTAACAAATCAGGCAATATACCCTCTTGAGTCATTCTGTTCTTAAGCCTAAAAGCTTCCACCAAATTGCCTTGCTTGCATAGCGCAGCAATCCAAGAAGTGTACACGTACTTGTCAGGAACAAAGCCTGCCTCTGACATCTCCCTCAAGACCACCTCAACTTGGCTTAAATTTCCTTCCTTGCAAATACCATCAATAAGGACAGTGTAAGAAATTTCATTTGCCTTTTCTCTGTCAAAGTACCTGCTTGCCTCATTTAGATGCCCGTGCTTACAAAGGCCATCCATCAAGGTTGTGAGAGCTACAACATCCAACTCAAAACCTCTAGTTAATAATTCCTTGCACTCATTCAGTGCTGCTTTCCAGTTCCCAGCCTTAAAATGAGCATTCATAAGTGTGGTAAATATCATACTATCAGGTGCCAATCCAGTCCTCACCATCTCTTCCTTAACCTCAATTGCGCTATCTACCATACCACAACAACAGAGGCCCGAGATAACAGCCCCATAAGCTGTTAGATCAAGCCTAACTCCCTCTTCATGCATTCTGCTCAAATATTTCATTGCGTTCTCGACATTCCCTTTCTTAAACAGCCCATCCATTATCGTAGTATAAACAACAGAATTGGGTCTAATCCCATCCTCCAACATCTTTGAAAACAAAAATTCAGCCCTTTCCAACATCCCCTGCTTACAAAGACCATCAATCAAGGCTGTATAAGTAACCACGTTAGGCAAAAGCGAAAATTCACTCATCTCCCCATACAACTGAAATGCCTCCCCCATATTACCAAATTTAGAACACCCATCAATCAAAGATGTAAAAACAATCGAATTAGGCAAAATTCCATCTCTCCTCATGCCATTTAAAACTCTGAAACCCATATCCAAATTACCCATTTTACTAAACATATCAATAAAAGTACTATGTGTAACGACATTAGGTATACAATATTTCCACATTACACCCATATACATAAATGCTGCTCTTTCCATCCCTGCCTTACAAAACCCATTAAACATGATATTAAAAGTCACCAAATCAGGCCTAACATTCCCACCACCACAACAAATTCTCTTCATTATCAAACAAGCACCTCTAATATTGAGAAAACGACAATACCCATCAAGCAAAGAATTGTAAGAAACTATGTCTGGTGAACAATTAAACTTTGGCATGGAATTTAAGAGGTTTTGCGCAGAATTAAGATGACCCAGTTTGCAAAAATATGAGATGACAGAATTGAAAGACGAGAGGGGAGGAGTGTACCCTCTGGAGAGGAATTGGAAGAGTAGTTTGAGAGAGAGGTCACCACAGTTGGAACGGATGAGGTGGTGGAGGGACTTGTTGAAGGTGTAGGGATTGGGGATTTTGGAGGACCGTTGCAAATGGTGGGCGAAGAATTGAAGAGCTTCTTTGATCATGCATGTGGAGTGGAGGTTCTTCAACCATCAATGACTCTCTCTCTCTCTCTCTCTCTCTCTCTATATGTGTGTGTGGTGTGTGAACTGAGCTAAAATATGAAGCGTAAAAGTGAGTTTTGAGGGTTTCTGGCAGTTTGGCTTAAACCCATTGAAACGGAGCTGGAGAGGCGGGCGGAGGTAGGAGCCCTTGAATAAATTATACTGAACCCCCCATAGGTTTAGTCAAAACATGTTATAACCCTTAAAGTTTTTGGAAATTACTGATAACCCCCTTAGGGTAAAACACACTGCACCACTTCACAAATGATCCATGTGGAATTTTTTTAAAAAAAATTTGTTTTAATGATATAATATGTATTTATATTTTTTTAAAAAAAAGTAAATAAAAATAAATAATTATTTTTTCCCTCTTACCAAGCACAAAAAAAAATCATTATTATTTTTCATTCATCCTATCAAACACAAAAAAAAATAAGAGAATGTATCATTCTTACTTTTATTTTTTTGAGGATAGAAAGTGTATCCCTTGTACTTTCTGTCCCTCTTACTTTTCATCATTCCTACCAAACGGAGCATAAGGGTCAACCACCCTTGCTCCTCGAGGAAAATGTTTTAAACTTGTTTGAATTATGATGACTAATATCTGAATTTGAGGATTAGTCGACACAAGTTTAAACATCCGGTAAAAAAAAAATACATTTTGTAACCAAAATATTGGTTATCAACTTGTTAGGGGTAGAAATCGCGCGTTCGGATCTCTACTCCTAACAAAAAGACGTCTTTTGGTGGACAGGATTGCCTCCCTCCGAAAGGATTTCGATTGACCTGGCGTGTGTCAAAGTGACCACCCAGTATCCTTTGACCTCCATCCCACATCGGGTAGGAATCGTCTTCTCTCCTGCCATATAAGTCCTTGGCCTTAATGGAGGAGGTACCCATTAGCACTTGATCTAGTTGATGGGACATTTTCTAGAACACAACAAATGATGACACGTGTCCTCGACACCGATGAAACATCTCTGTTATGGTCCTGACACGTGTCATCGGCATCCTTAGCCCTCCCGCCGAGGGAATAATTCTCGGGGGCGAGGGACTCTAAGACGGCATGGATGACACATATCCCTCGGCTCAAATTGATGATATTGGTCCCGATGAATGTATGCTCCCTCGGCGCCGAGATGTATCTACTGGAATATGGACTTTTCCACTCTTACAAGGGCTGGTGATTAACAGGTGACTAGCATAGGTCAGCCTAGGCTAGGCTAGCTATCATAACAACGTTCTACTCAATGGTGTTAGGACGCATAAGAATGTAGAAGATTCAATCAAGGAGGAATGGACACGTGGAATGCGGTGTCAGATCAAAGATAAAATGACCAGAATGCCTCTGCTGACACATGACTTGTGCAAACAGACATTTAATGTATCCCCTTCTTGATGAGATAACATTTAAGGCATGGGGGCCGAGAAGTGAAAGGCATTAAATGCTCCCATGCCTGGGCATTTAATACTACCTCACTGAGGGAAGGGCATTGAATACTCAGTAGGCCGAGGGAAAAGCATCAATTGCTCAGCGTCCCCGAGCAGTTAAGGCTAAATGCATTCCCCACTAAAAGGAAAGGGGGCACACTACCCCATCTCTAATGATTGTCTACTAGTTATATTATCAGCAATGATAAGCTTTTGAATGTATAAATAGTCCTCAAAAATATATTACAAAGGTATGTAAGAACATCTCTCAAGAGCCATAGAGTGTTTTCTTCTTCCCTACTCTCATAGTTACTGACTTGATCGTTGGAGGGGATACACCAAAAAATACTCCGACGCCTTTCTAACTGATTTTGTTTTATTCCAGGAAACCCTCGTAGCCTTCCAGGACCGGTCGAGCAACCCAACAAACAGTTCATCGCCACTACTTAGGCCTCCTTTGGCCTTTTCAACCCATTCCAGGTGGTGAGATCGACTGCTGCCTCGACGGAATCGTGTTCACCATGGAAGAGATCTGTTCTCATGCATATTGTGTAGAAATTTGCACGCACAATCTGACGCCATCTGTGGGAAACGACTAGTTTTTCCAAAAAACAGTGACCATGGTGAATACTCGACAGAAAGGGAAGGGTCCCTAGCAGAAGAACCTCGATTTGCAAGCTCTTTCTAGTTCCGGAACGAAGGATCAAGTTAATGGTGTAGCAGGAATATCTCCACTCAACCGAGAGGGCATACTTGCCAAACTAGTATGGGTATCAGATCAGGAAGATCCGCCCATTGGCTCGTCAACTGGGGGAAATGATCGAGAAGAAGTTTAGGGGTCGATTACGACAGTTAGAAGAGGACAACGTGAACGTTCTCAGCCGTCTCAATGAATTTGCAGCTTCCGGCGAAGGATCCAGGGACTCGTTCCGTTCCCGTGGACACTCCATCAGGAAAGTGGAAACTGAGGACCTGAGGAATCACTTGAACAAAAAAGCTGAAAGTTCTAGGGCCCCAAAGCGTCTAAGAGCCAAGGAGCACCCTCTGCATGGTCATGCCAAGAAGGTAAGGCCTTTGGCTTAGGATGACCCCTGTCGGAGATTGTCTAGGCGAGGGGGCGTAGAGGAATCCGAGGAGGACTCAACCCTCTCCACTCGACACCCAAGAAAGGGGAACCCCATCAACCAGCACAGGGACCTTGGAAAGTCTCCCCCTAAGTTGGAAACTGACCTCAGAGCTTAGCTGGACTCCAGAAGAAAGAGTAAGGCTGTCTAGGACGACGTAGATGATGAAACCATACAATCCCCTTTTACTAGGGATATCTGGGAGATAGAGGTACCAAAAAATTTTACGGTGCCAAGGTTCAAAACTTATGACGGACGATCTGATCCCGAAGCTCACCTCAGACAATACAAGCAAATGATGTCCCTGTACCACTCGGACCAACGACTTTTATGCTGGGTGTTCTCCATGAGTTTGGGAGACTCCGCTATGAAGTGGTTCGAGACTCTCCCTCCCAACAGCATTGGGTCATGGAAGGAGTTAACCAGACAGTTCTCAGACCGATTTATTACAGGGAGTAAGTGGCCCAAAGATATTGGATCCTTGTTGACACTCAGACATAATGAAGGGAAAACCCTCCGCCAGTACGCCATCTGTTACTAGGAAGAGGTTAATGAGGTGGAGGGATGTTCGAAAGTCATGGTAGCCACATCTTTTAGGCTCGGCCTGGCAAGGGAAACAAATATGTATCGGTCATTGACCAAGAAGACCCCCTCAGACATGGACGAATTGATGGCTCAGATAAACAAGTACTCTAGGATTGAATACGAGATGGGAGGAGGTAAAGGCAAAACCCTCACCTCTAAGAGGAAAGACAAGGAGAAAGAGGACACCTCATCCCGAAAATGATTGGTACCCCCTCTAAAAGTTCTTTTAAATGGATCCACACTGTGTTTATAGAGCCTATTTACAAATTGCTCCCTAAGATCAGGGATGAGTCGTTCTTTAGGTAGCCGCCTAAGATGCAGGGTGATCCGTCCACCCGGGACCAGAAGGCCAGATGTTCCTATCACCGAGACTTCGGCCATCGTACCAAAAATTACAGAGTGTACAAATCTTTCCTAGAGAGGTTGGTCCAAGACAAACATCTGAAATAGTACATTTGAGCCAAAATTAGAAGAGGGTCATGACTCTACTCCGGCTGCTGTGCAAGACAACATTATAGACGTGATCCACGTGTGCCCACTGGAGCATCCGACGTCTAAGGAACTTGAGTCCGATCTCCAAAGGGTAGCATTCACGAGAAAGGTGGCCGAAGGAGATGGGGGCCAGCCCAGCAAGAGGGCTCAAACTGGCGAACCAAACATCACATTTTTTGATGCAGATCTAGCAGGCGTGGTCACCCCCTATAACGACAGCCTGATCTTAACGCTGAAGATTGGCAAAATTGATATTAAGAGAGTTCTGGTGGATTCTGGGAGTTCTTCTGAAGTAATGTACTTCGAGACCTTGAAGCGTATAGGGCTCGGCCCTAAGGACCTCACCAAGGTTAGGACGCCCCTCGTCGGATTTAACAGCTCATTTGCCCTGCCCATGGGTAAAATTACATTGTCAGTCATTACGGGGCCTTTTACCATCAAGACAAAGTTTGTCGTGATCGATACACATTCACCTTACAACGTAATCATGGGGCGAGCTTGGTTACACGAGCTAGGGGCGGTGCACTCCACTTACCACCAGAAGTTGAAATTCCCCACCCCAGAGAAGGTGATGGAGATCCGAGGGGACTAAACATCCATAAAGAACTATTTTTACTCTGCTGTTAGATCAGGGGTTTTCACTCAGGAGAAGGGGCGTGCCCCGGAGGAGATCCTGAAAAAATAGCAATCACAGTCTGCGCATCCAGTAGTGGACGACCCCCGAACAGATCCGACGGATCGATCGGTGAAAGACCTCTGAAAAGTGTTTTTGGTAGATAGTAAAGAGGAAAGGTACTTCTTGATTGGCTCCGCAAATGCCTGCAGCCGAACAGGAAGAGATGATTGATTTTTTGAGATAACATGCAGACGTATTTGCTTGGAATGCGATGGAAATGAAGGGGTGGACCCCGAAGTAACCCATAAGCTTCACGTTGATCCAGCCCACAAGCCAACAAAACAGAAGCCACGGCGCATGGTGCCATGTCACACCCAAGTGGTAAACGAGGAGGTTGATAAACTCTTGGAGGCCAACACCATCCGGGAAGTACAGTTTCCAGAGTGGTTGTCGAACATGGTTTGTACGAAGAAAAAAAGGGAAAATGGCGTGTTTGCATAGACTTCACTGATCTGAATAAGACATGCCCCAAGGACGACTTTCCTCTCCCGTAGGTGGACTAGTTGGTGGATACCACTGCAGGGTATCAGCGCATAGACTTCCTGGATGCCAGGGCAGGCTACCATCAAATCCCCCTCCATCTGCCTGATCAAGAGAAGACAGCCTTCATTACTCCGAGGGGGGTTTATTGCTACAAAGTCATGCCGTTCGGACTAAAGAACGTCGGAGCGACTTACCAGAGACTTATGAATCGAATGTTCAAAAGTCAGATCGGCAACACCATGAAGGTCTACATTGATGACATGTTGGTTAAAAGCA